GCCCGGGGAGCCCGACGAGAAGGACGCGCCCGCCGCCCGCAGAGAGGGCACGGAAGCGGCGCCGGCGCAGGAATGGGAGCGGGGGCACGAACTGGCAACCACCCACTGCCACTCCCATGGCCGGCTCTCAGCACCCTGGCCCTTCCCCCCCTGGCAACGGCGCGAGCTCGAGCACCGAAGCACGGCGACAGCCAGGCCGCAACGTTCCTCCAGCGCGTTCGCCTGGCAACGGGTGGAGGCCCGGCCTGGCCCCAGCGATTGGCGGCTCCCCAGTTTCCCTGCCGCCCCCTGGGTAAAAACCCGGCCCCTGGCGACGCCGACGCCGCTGGCGGGCCCGGCGCGCGGCAAACGACAGGCGGCGGACGCAGCAGCAGCGGCAGAAGCAGCAGCAGCTGCAGCAGCAGCCGACGGGACAGCAGTTGTATAAAACCAAGATCAGCTGCATCCAGTGGGGCCTCCCCGGGGAGACCCCTGGCGAGACGATGAAGCGGCCCCAAGCCACCCTGGGCGCGACGTTTACGGGCGCCCGGAACGCGTTCGCCATGCAGCCCAGCAAGGGCGCATTCGACCCGCTACGGCACGACCAGCAAACCTGCGCCAGCTTCCTGCGCTCCTTCCGCAACCACAACTGCGATGTGAGGGCCATGAGCGACGCGCTGAACCTCGGCGTCAACTGGGCCCACTTGCAGCAGCGATGCCCGAGCCGCAGAGACGGCGCGGACAGGGGGCGCCAGGTGACGAAAAGCCACTCTGGCAACCGTGCCCCCAGGAAGGGCAAGACGCAGGGGAAAGATTGTCAGCCCTAGCCCGCCCGCCCTCGACTCACCCTAGTCGCCCGCCTTCTTGCGGAAAGCGCCGCCCTCAGCTACCCCCCGGCGCCCTGGTTTGCCGGCCCGTTCCCCCCCCTGCCCCCCCCATTACTCGGGCGGCGCTCTCTGCGGTCTCACAACAAAAAGCAGGGCCCGTTAGGCCTGAAGAATGCAGAGCGTCTGGCGATCGAGGCACCCCCTGCGTCCGGCGCCCGAGTCCTCACGTTCACGCGGACAACCCTGGCGGTCACCAGTGCTCACAAGAGGAAGCAGGGCCCGTTAGGCCTGGAGGAAGGGGGGCGACAGCCTCGTCCGACTCATCAAGTGGAACAGGGTCTGGTAGGCCAGAAGGACCTACACCGACGGACGCGGGAGACCCGCCCCCTGTCCGCCCTCTTTCGGACGAGGCTAACAGCCGAGACCCAGGCGGATCAGCCGCACGCGACTCAGGACAGCGCGCCGCCGATTTCTGACCGCCCCCGTCCGCCCCCCCCACCTCCTGCGGGCCCCCCCCCCCCCCCGTACCCCGGTTGCCGGCAGGGCCCGCTTGACCAGACAGGAGGAAGCGGAGCGACAGCCTCACCCTTTCCTCTCGCAGACGATCGAGGCACCTTCTGCGTCCGACGGCCGAGCACTCACGCCCACGCGGACAACCCCGGCGGTCACCGAAGCAGAGACCGCCGGGTCTGGAGGAAGGGGGACGACAGCCTCATCTGTCTCAACAAGAGGAACAGGGCCCGTTATGCCTGAAGGAAGCGGAGTGACAGGCTCTCCCCATTACCTCCCAGGCGAACGAGGCACCTTTGGCATCCGACCTCCGCGCTCTGGCGTCCAAGGGCACACCACTGGTGGCCAGCTGACCTCGCATGCACCCGACGTCCAAGTCCTGACGCCCGTCGCGGACAACCCAGGTGGTCATCAGATCCCGCAAGGGGAGGCAGGGCCCGCGAGGCCAGAAAGGAGCGGGAACACCGTGTCACCGGTCCCACCAAGAGGAGCTGGGCCCGTTTGGACGGCAGGAAGTGGCGCGACGGGCCCCCCCCCCATCCTCCCGCAGGCGATCGAGGCACCTCTGGTATCCGCAGTCCAAACCTTGGCGCCCACACGGGCAACCCTGGCGGCCAGCAGACCTCACGAGGAGAGGCAGGGCCCCGCTGGCCAGAGGGAGACGGAGGTTCGGTCTCAGCGTCCTCGCCAAGAGAAGCAGGGCCCGTTAGGCCAGAAGCGGGCTGCGCCACGGCGCCAGGGTTGCAGCCCTCCCCGGCACCTCCCTGCAGCGAGGCGCAGAAACGGGCCGGACGCGCCATGTCAGCCACAGCGCAGGCTTGGCAGCGGGCCCCGCCGCCCACCCACCCCGACCGATCGACGCGCGGCGGGAGGACAGCCTACGCCGATGGACGTGGGAGACCCGCCCCCTGTCCGCCCGGTTTTGGTCACCCTTGGCGCGTCTCTCCCCCGCGCCCCCGGGCGCCCGCCCGTGCCAGGGTGGCCCCCCCGCGGCTGGGCCCCCGAATCCCCTGCCGGGGTCGGTGGCGCCTTCTTTCACCTGCCCCGGCCTCTCCATCCCGCGCAAATCGCGGTTTCATCTCCGCCACGCTGCGTCCGCAATTTCGGCTGCAGTGTCGGTGCACTCCCTCGCGCCGTCTGTTCGCGTTTGTCGCCATCCCTGGAGTGTCGACCGCGGACTGCACCCCCTTCTTTCCGGGGCTCGGGTGTGCGATTTTGCTGGCGCCACCACTCGCACCTGCCAGGCCTTGGGTCATTCTGAGGTGCCCAACCTTGGTCACTCCGCGGTGCTTTCTCGCGCCATTTTGGCCGCGCCGCAGCTTTGCTGCCCAATTCTCCCACACCCAATTCGTTCGTGGCGGTCGGTTCACCTGGCTCCGGCCACCCTGGTACCTTTTCAGCGCTGGGGGTGCCTACTTTGCATCTTACTCACTTGCAGCTTGCAGTCCTCGGCCGCTGGCCACCCTGGCAGTCAGACTCCCTGCAGCTCGTTGCACGCGTGCACACAATTCATTTGCAGTTGCAGACCCTGGCCGCCGGCCACCCTGGTAGTCCGCCGCCCCCTGCAGCTCGATGCATGCGTGCACCCCTGGCAGCGCAGCTACGCTGGCAGCCACCGTCAGCAGCCTGCCTGCACTCGCCAGCCTGGCCGCCGAGGTGCCGCGCGAGGCTTCGGCCCATTGGGTTTAGGTTAATTCGTCTTTGCGCGCCCCGCGCTGACTGGACACGCTGTCGGCGCCTTCGCCTGCGGCCGCTGACTAAAAAGTATCCCCACCTGACCTCTTGCTGCCTAGTCGCGGCCCAGCTAGTGTTTGGACGGCTTTCGCCCTGCTTCGCGAGCCCGCAAACCGAAAAGTCTCCCCACCAGTCATTTTGCTATTTGCCTGACTCGCACCGAACGATCGACCTTTGCGTGTTTATGGTCGCGCCGCCGCGCCATTTTGGCTGCGCTTACTTGCTGGTCGCTACCAGGATGTCCAAAGCCACCGGGTTTGGGAGGCCGGTTCTGGCTCTCCTTCTGAGTGGTTGCCCGTTCGCTCGTTTCGCTTGCCTTTCTTTTCCTGCTGCCTAGTCGCGGCCGCGGCCCGACTAGTGTTCGGACGGCTTTCGACCCGCCTCGCGAGCCTGTTGACCAAAAAGTATCCCCACCAGTTGTTTCCCTTGACGGCGTCCAGCTCTCCTGGTGCGCTCGCGAGCAAGAAAAACGCATCCCCACCAGCCTATCCAGAAACGATGCCCAGGGGAGTTGAGGAAATCAGGGAAGTGGGGGAGCACGCAGAAGAACAAAGTGCGGGGGAAGCCGCCATAGACCCCAAAAGGGGGAGGATGGAGGAGGAATCGTCGGAGGAAAAGGAATAGGAAGTGGAGTAAGGCACGGACGAGGAGGACGAGAAGGAGAAGAAGGAGGGAGAGTTGGGTACTTCGGGGATCCGCTTGAGGCCTCGCATGGGGTCCTTTGAGAGCCTCTTGGAGGCCTCTTGGGGTTTTCTCGGGGCTCTTTTGGGACTCTCTTCCGGGCTTCTTGAAAGCTCTGGAGGGCCTCTTGGGGCCATCGTGGAAGCCATCGATCAAAAGGAGGGGGTCCAAAATGTAGCCCACCCCCCCAAGGAACCGCCTCTTGGGGCCCTCTTGTGGCGCTCTCGGGCGGTCTTGGGGACGTTTTGGGGCCTCTTGGGCCCATCTTGGAACTCTCCTAGGCCATCTTAGGGCCATCATAAGGCCTCAAAAGCGTATCGGAAGCGAAAAAGCGAGAAGACAAACGTCAGTGACTTGCGTAAGGTGTTTGAAGGATGTTGGCCTCTCGGGGTGGTCGTGGGGGGTCTCCAAAAACACATGGATCCGTCTTGTGGCCCTCTTGGGGCCTCTTGGAGGCATGTTGTTAGCTAAATTGAGCCATGGTGGGCTATCTTGAGCGATCATGGAGGCCATCTTGGGCTCTCTGAGGCCCTCTTGAAGCTATCTTGGGCGCTCTGACACCTCTGGCCCATCCCCGTCCAGGTCCAGGGGAGGGGGCGGGGGGAGGGGTCAAGCTACCCACCCGCCCGCAAGCCGTTTGGCTCACTCCCACACGCCAGTCGCGCCGGGTGCGCCACGTTCGGGGCACGTGGCACGTGCAAATTGCGTCAGGTGCGCCTGCGCACGCGACAGCACACATCGGGAAACATGTCGGCCCCCGCCATCCCTGTCGAGAACCAATGCCCATTATTGTGTCTGGTGTGCCTGCGCACAGCAGGCCACGCGCCACCACCCCCTCCGCCCCTGTCAAAAACCACTTGACAGTGATTACGAGATGGCCTCGCATGATCCAGATTTAGCAACAAGGTGCATACTGTATTGTTTGTTGTCAGGGATGGTAGCCCTGCACACAGCAGGGGATATGCTGACACCCCCGCCGTCCCTGCCAAAAACAATACAAAGTGCTCGCGGGCCTCGCGAACATGACTCTAGACGTTGCCCCAAAGTGTACTTTGCAATGTTTTTTGACCGGGATGGCGGGGGGGGGGGGGGGGCGCATCGGGTTGGCCGCGCATGCTCCAAATATGGAGGCAGACTGCGGTTTGTATTGTTTTTTGACAGGGATGGCGGGGGGCAGGCCCGCATGGAGTCGGCATGGTTGCGGGTTGGCCGCTGGCAGGGTGGGGGAGGGTATGATTAAATTTATAAGGAACAATCGTAAGCCCCTCCCCGAAAGGGAAGAGGGGGGGCTTTCGGAAGAGGGAAGAAAGATATCGTTAGACCACCTACGCCCAGAGGGCCAGTGGTTTTGCTCTGGCCCTCCTTCTCCTCCTCCTCCGTGCTTATCATCTCTCCTCCTCCACGTCCTGTGTCAGTCACCCAGGGATGCTGTAGTCGTTGCGAGCAGCCGCGTGACGCCCGAATTATGGACCGAGACACCCACAAGGGAGTGGAGCCTTGACATCCAGGTTCGGCCGGTCTTGGGTCTTGGGGTCCTCGCGCATCGACTGCGGGTCTGAGAAAACAGCACAAAGGTGGGGTCGAAAATGATGGTCGTGAATTCTCGGCGATGCTTTAAACTTTCTCGACATCGGATCTTGGTATCTTTGTCCACCTCGTCCATTCCATCTCCCTCTCCGTCCACCTCTCCCTTCCCTCTCCCTCCAACCTCTCTCATCCCTCCTGTTATCTTTCTCGTCTGTCCCCTCCTCTTCCTCTCCCTTCTCCTCCTACGCCTCGGTCCCCCCATCCCCCTCCTCCTCATCCTCCTCGTCTCTCCCCTCCTGTTCCTACTCCTCCAGCAAAGGGAAGCGCGCCTGCATCGGGCAGCAGCTCTCCCTGATCGAGCAGCGGATCTGCCTCGCGACCCTGTGCCGCAAGTTCCACCTACGCGTGGACCCCACCACCAAGGTCACCGCTGCGCCATCCTGCTCTCCCCCCTCTCATCAACTAGTTGTGCCGACGGTCGGACCCCACATGGGAACATGCTTAGCTGGCTCTTAGCCCTTTCCTCTTCGGCCTGGCGGACACCCCCTGCCGCCCTCTGCTTTGCCCTCTCCTCCACTTCCTCCTTCTACTTCTCCTCCTCCTCCTCCTCCTCCTCCTCCTCCTCCTCCTCCTCCTCCTGCTCAGTATCCTCCCCCTTCTTCTCCACCTCCTCATCATCACCCTCCCCCGTACCCCTTTCCCCTCCTCATCCTCCTGCCTCTTCTCCATGTGCACCTCCCCTTCCCTTTAGTCGGGGCAAGCAAGTCGATTTTTCTCGGCGCCGTCGCCGCCTCGGCCAGCACGCGCGCGTTCGCCGACGACTAGATTGCGAAGCCTTTGGGGCAATCCCGCGGGCCATGGCTTTGGGACACCCCGCGGGCCAAGCCGTTGGGACAACCCCGCGGGCCTCGAGGTGGGCGCGGCCGCGTTCAGGCGGGGGGCAGCGCGAAGCCCAGCCGTGCTGCGAGCTGTTCGCCTCGGTTCTGAGGCTTCCCGCTATTTCGTCGAAATTCCAGAGCGCCTTCCGCACGGACGCCAGCGGCCCGCGTTCCAGGAACTCTCGCACGGGCAGCGACAGGATCAGCACGTTCCGCATGCACGTGGCGCGGGCGAACATGACGTAGAGGTGCAGCCACCACCTGCTCGTTGGGCACGCCCGCACGACCAGCGTCCTCATCCCTGGCGCAGCCGATGGTGGCGCCATCGCCGCGTCGGGCAACTGGGTTCAGCCGAGCGAGTGGCCCTCTTAAGGGCACAGATGTGACCCCGCTCGGATTGACCCGCGAGGGCTCGCATCACCCTTCGTTCCCGAGGAGCCCATCAGTGACGACGGCTACGGGATCCCAAGGACCCGTTCGGATTCTAACGTGGAGCTGCGGGCCCCATAGCGAAAGGGCTTCCGTGTAAGACTTCCCCGCGATTCAGCCACAGACGAGGCCGCAGCGCGGGCCCCATAAGGAGGGGGCTTCCGCCTGAGACTTCCTCGTAATTCACTCACAAACGAGGCGCCCGCCTGAGGCTTCAAAATTCAGGCGCGAGGGGCCCAAAAGGGACGACGGCTACAGGATTTGGATGACCCGCTCGGATTACCTACATGAGCTGCGGGCCCCATAGGGAGGGGGGGTCCGTTTCAGACCCCCGCAATTCATTCACAAACAAGGCTCGCGCCCGAGACTTCTTCAACATTCAGGCGCGAGGGGCCCAAAAGTGACGACAATTAGGTACAGGATGTTGATGGCCCGTTCCCGTTACCAACACGAAGCGCGGGCCCTATAGGGAGGGCCCCCCCCGCTTGAAGGTTCCTCACAATTCACTTACCGACGAGGCTCCCGCTTTAGACTTCCTCAAGATTGCTGTATGATTGCGTGACTTTGAAAAGGTTTTGGTGTGCGAGCGTGAATGAATGTGAGAGTGATGTCGGTGATGACGGAGATGCTGATGAGTGGTTGAAAATGAGTGCGGGACTGAGTGCACACGATGAAGATGCTGATGATGATGTTGAATGTGAATGTGTGGCTGCGTGAGTGTGTGTGTGTGAGTATCGAAAAGAGTGGTGATGATGACAACGGTGATGATGTGATGGTGATGAGGATGATCACGATGATGATGCTAGTTTTGATGACGGTGATTAGGATGTGGGTGGGTTACTGTTCCTGTTCCTGCGCGGGGTGTCCAGAGAGGCCAAGAACCCCACTTAACATGTGAGGAAAACAAACGGCATATGCATGAAAGTTTGGGGGTCCGCGCGGAGTTTTGGGATCGGCGGTGCAACCCCCTGGCGGCGCCTCTGGCGCCGCCTCTGGACGCAGTGCGCGCCAAGGACGGGGGTCCACCGCACATCCAAGACATCCGCGCAGACCTCCGACTTTTCATGTGTGTGGCATAGCTTTTCCCTCGATATTCCCCCTCCGTCAGGGTTGAGGATCGAGGAGGAAGTCGACGTCGACGTTTTCGTTTCCCACATCTTTCATCAAAACAGGAGTCACTCGTCGCCTCGGCTGGACGCACTTCGACAAATCGATCAGGACAGCAATTGGGAGGGTTTGTGGACCGTCGAGGCTTGCAACGAGGCTTTCGCTTTCGGGCAGACCACCCACTCTTCCTTCCCCTCCCCCTCCCCTTCCCTTTCATCTTCCTTTTCTTTCTCCTCCTCCTCCTCCTCCTCCTGTTCCTGTTCCTCCTCCTCATTATCCTCCGCCTCTTTTTCCTCCTACTCGAACGGTAGATGGTCAGGCAGAGATTGTACCCTAGACAGGAGAGCGCAGGGGGGTACCATTGGCATTTTGGGTTTCGGGCGATCACCTAGCGCGCCCGATTTTGGTCCCGCTGTACACCCGCTATACATTTGAGAAAAGCACTATATTTTCCGATCGCTCGACACTTTCAGTTGGTATCGGAATTTCGGTTCCCTTCCACTCGCGATTCGCAGCCATGGCCCGCGTGGTAACACTTCGTCTTCGTTGCGATCGCTCTACGTCAACATGCTCTGCGCGTTTTCGCTATACGTTCGCCTTCGCGCAGATTTTCCCATTCGCCAAAGCATGCGACGTGTTTTAGGGACCGTGGGGGCGCCGCTCGCCAAATCCCCAGGAACGACGGAGACACAGCTGCGCACGAACATGCACAAAGACTTCCACATCAAGGACCGGCCGCCGCCGGCACCGTTTTCCCAACGCGTTCCCAAACTATGCCTGAGCAGCTCGTGGACCTGCCGCCATCAGCGCAGTCGCTTGCGAGTACAGCCGCAAATGTCGGAGAGTTGCTCGGAAAAACGTTCACGTTTTCGGTGTTGGGGAAAGGCCCCGAGGTTCATGTGACTATATCGCAGGAGCCCAGGGAGTAATAAGCAACGGACACGGCGCCTCCATCGAATCCGCCCGAGGGTGTAGCCGAAGGGGGTCATTCGCTTAGTCCGACGTCACATTTCTGGCGTGGGTGAAGCGTCCCGAACTGTTGACCACTATGTTGTGAGAGCCAGGGGACACTTGGGCAGAGAAGAGCGGGAAGACAAAAGAGGGTCTGACGACTACGTTGGCAACATTCAAGGGGACCGCGAAACGAACTTTGGACAATTCGTCCTCGGTTTCTTGGAACATGACCCCACCATTTCGGGCGCACTCCTTGCTTCCTGGCAGACCTGGATCGCGACGCAGGCTCCTCGTGACAATCGTACGGTTGGGGATGATCAACACAGTGACAACGTGACGCACGACGACCATTCTCATGACTAGGTTGTGGGATGCTCCGAGTGACGAGGAAGAGCATACCCGGGACTGATACCCACGACGGCTTCGAAGTTCCCTACCAGAACGGCGCCATTGGTGGGTACCAGGACTCCAGCACCTCCTCGATAAACGTACGGGGTTCCACTCTGGATGGAAGGCCATCGGAGTGGGCATGGTCGCTGCCACCAGCTGCATCGTTTGCACGGACGCTGGCGGCGGCGGCGGCGGCAACGCGTGGTTCCTCCGCTCCTGGGTGGCCGACCGACAGGAAGCTCGCGTGCCTTTTCCATAGTGGGGTGCGGAAGGTCATGATCTGGTCAGCGGCTAACTCCGACCTCAACGAGCTCCGCCAAACGGCCCATATCGTTGTTATTTTTACATTCGACGACAGGGGGCGCCCCATCTGCCTCGAGGCCGTCGTACATGGCGAGAGGGTGGTACGCCTACACTGCCGCACATCTTACACCAGGCATGCCACTTGCAATCGACGCAGAGCAGCGACACTCACAGGGTGCACTGCCCAGCGTGCCGAGGCCCAGCCGACGTCATCGCCGACTTCCGCTTCATTGGTGCAGATCGTGCTTGGTGGGCTCGACGACGCCTATGGCGCCGGCCCGCGCGGCAGACCCCGATCTGACAGGTCTGGCATTCATGGCGCCAGTCCTTTCGGCACCAGACGACGGCGCGCCCAAGGAGACACCACCCCAGCAGAACACCATAATTCCCTCGGCTCGCACCAGCACCAGGGACACCGCGGCGGAACCCGACGCAGTCACCAGGCAGCGCATCCAGTCTCATGCCCGCCTCTGATGTGGCGGCACTCTGCGACGCGCACATGGACCTGCACGTACCGCCGCGCCGACCAGCGTTCCCACGGTGGCCCACCTCGTCAGATACAGGTCCCAGTTGATCGAACGAGCCACCATATGACCTGGCGAGCACCGACGCCTGGACCAACGTGCCGGGAACATGGCCGACAAGGCCCAGAAGGCGAAGCTCGCGCCCACGAGCGAGAATTTGTCACCCCTGCTCTACGCGGGAGGAGTCGGCAACGGGCCACAGGATGCGCACTGAGAGGCACACTGCCCCATCGCAGTGACCACCCGCGACGACGCGACCACGCGGCGCGGCATGCGCGCTGCCAGCCGTAGCGGGCGCGGGCTTCGATCTCCATACCCGTCTCGGTCTGCCATCCACGCAGTGCAACGACGGGGCGGCGAAGACAGGCGCAGCCCGCAAGCGCCCGACGTTCCCCGGGCCCGGCGGCTACGAAATCAATCGGGGCCCCGGCACCGCCCATGTCGGCTTGGACGCGGCGCCGAGTGGCCATCGATACATCCCAGTCGATAACTTTGACCGACTCCAGTCACCCTCTGGGGGGCCACCGCCTAGGCAGCTCGCGCTGCCGGCAATCGGCGACGCCAGGGCGACGACACGGGCGACGGCCGCGAGCTCAGGAATGTCAAGGTCCAGTTTCCGAGCCCCAACGCACAAGCACCAGCTCTGGGCGCGCCGCTGGCAGCAGGCTACGACCCGCACGCCAGCGCGGACGTCAGCGTCGCGACTTCTGGTCGGGAACTGGAGCCCACGGGCGCGGCCGCTCTCGCACCGCTGGGCGCGCACCTGCGGGTGGCCCCGCGCTCAGAACCCACCCTCAGAGATCTCGGCGTTGCGGGCGGCGCGGCGGGCCCCGACTAC